GGTCACCTTTGGGGTCACGTGGCCTTGAGGTCACCCCCAGGTCACGCCTCCCCGAGGTCACGTGACCCCCTCCCCGAAGTCACGTGACACCCCCCCCCGGAGCATATTAAAGAATGAGGGGAGGAGGAGGAGAAGGGGGAGGGGTCTACCCTCCCCTCAGTACCCTTCACTCCTCCTCCTCAAGAGCTGCGCTCCAATTCGGCGTTACAGGGATTTGTAAACGGCTTCCACTTTTTTTCCTACAGAAAGCTAAAACCGAAAACACTTGCCAGCACGGCAGATACCCAAAAAAATACAACGAGCACGTTCGAAGACAAAAATAGAGCGAGTCAGACGCCACGTTCAGACGCCATGTTCTTACCAGAAGTGGCGCGCGGCACGTGTCTCGAGCATTTACACAATGAATGGTTCCACTTTTCCCAGGATAGAGGTGCCAGGGGTATTCACACAAAGAGAAATCCCGGGGATTTCTCCCCGGCACGCGAGCATTACGAGATGAAAACGCGAGGCTTTTGCACATCGCAAAGGTTGACGTTTTCGTCGTGGGATGCGCTTGCCGGGGAGAAATCCCCGGGATTTCTCCCTCGTGTGAATACAAGCTCGATTAGAGCCCCTCTATCCTGGGAAAAGTGGCGCCATTCATTGTTGTACAATCGCGTGAGGCACGTGCCGCGCGCCACTTCTGGGAAATTCATGGCGTCTGAAATCTAGCTCTGTGCTGCGCTGTGCCGCCACGATCTTCCCAAGGGCTGCACGGTGCACGTTCCTCGTGCATCGACGAACCTTGCGCTACTTTTGAAACATGAATGGGCTTTAAGCTCGATATGGCTTGAGCGCCATCTAATGTTTTTGTATAAATGCGTTCAACGTCGGAATTGATTGTTCAACCCCCAAATAAGCTATTAAAATACATGTACTACGAGTGCCTTTGAGGGTGCATTCCGCTTTCTCAGTTGAAATAATCAACCTTTCCGGTCCGATGAACCAGATCCAACATTCTTATAACTCGGTCAGTACAACCAGTATCGAGATTTTCAACTCAAGTGTTCAAGCGTTTAGGTGTTCAGTGTCCGATATTTAACTGTTACCTATTTCCTATACCCCCGTAATAGATATTAGCTGTTGCACGTGCCTTATATTTCTTGTGCGCGCTCCTTTGGTGGGGAAATATCCCGCTAAATTTTGAGGAAATATTTTTTCTATAATTTTAGCGGAAAATTTCCCCAATAAATTCAGCGGAAACATTTCCCCGCTAAATTTAGCGGAGAAATTTTCCCGCTAACTTTAGCTAGCGGAGAAACGTCCCATAATGCAACGCGCGTGGTTACGCCGACGCCGATGGCGACGCCGCTCAACCCGGACACGGGCGCCTAAGAGCTGCGCTCTAAAAGCGGGGAAACCATTTTGAGTCGAATGCTTGCTGATGCTCATGCCCCAGCGTTGTGCGTTGAGCTGGTACATGGTAGGACACGACCTGTATTTGACCGCCAGATTTGCTTTGTATAGTGTCGTCCCCTATAGGTCTCTGGAGTCACGAATAAAAGCCGCGCAACACGAACGCCAGCGCCGCAACTATGGTGAGGGCGAGAACTACTTCTGAATGAATGAGATCGGTGAGTGAGTGAGTGAGTTCTATGAGGGGCGTGAGTTTGTAAGTTCATTAAGTTTATGAATTCGGTGAGTTCATGGGTTCGCGTGTTAGGACTTGAAGGTGAGTGCAGGCGTGAGGGTGAGTGTGAGTGAGTTTTAACTTCTTATTTTAGCTAGCTGTGAGTGAGTGAGTTCAACAAAAAATGACGATCTCTGGGCTCCACCCGGTCGCCCCTCCTTCCTCTTTTTTCCACTAAGTCCCCTTCACCATACCCCGGGAAACCCCCGGTATCTCTAGCATAGGTCCGTCCCGTCTTCCAGCGAGTCTGGACCTGCACCTGCAAGTCGTTACGTGGCCAGGAATCAACGGTAACCCGACAACTCCCTCGGTCGGTGGCGCGCAAGCTCTTGCTCGATGGCGCGGGGGTGGAAAGACTGGGTCTCTGGAATACTAGTGCTGGAAGCCTCTCGAGTCAGGCCCGGACGAAACGCGCATGGTACATCACAGCTTTCTTCGTCGAAGTCATTCACACTGATCGCAGCAGCAATCAGAGTAATTGGTATCGAGAAATGCTGGGGTCGTCATTTTACTTTGACTCGCCGGCGACCAGCTGCAGCGACGACCACGAAGTCGTGGCGGACAAAATCGCTGTTGTCCGCGACGATCTCCCACGTGCGTGCAGGGTGGAAGTCCAAAGGGCACAGGGCGAAAGGGAGAGTAGCACTGAGGTAGCCCAGTAGCGTAGGGTGCGATCGTTGCATGGAGAGCTTGGTCGAGCATGGAGGCGCCTAGAATGAGCGTGTTTAACTGCGCATCATGATAACGTGATTTATAGTCACCATGTTACTCACTTGGGTAGTGTTGCCTGGTCGCCAGATTCAAATGATCAACATTAGTATATTGATCGATTATAGCAATTACTAGAGTTTTACAAATCGCGAAAATTTCTGTATCTACTAAGTAGCCTATGAGCATACAACTTCAAGATTAAACTTTCCATCCAGAGAGGATACGCAGGAGGAGGGGGGTGCGTACAGAGGCATAGCAGGGTAAGGTACGGACGGAGGAGCAGGAGGGGAGGGTACGGAACAAAAGGCGGGGAAGATACGGAGGAGGAGGGTACGAAGGAGGAAGAGTACACGGAGAGTTGGAGGGTGCAGAACCAGTATGTGAGGAGACTGATCTAAATATATATATATATATATATATATATATATAACTGAGAAGAAAAAAACCCTTAGTGAAAAACAGCAACAACGGACGATTTAATCTTCGACGTTTCGGCCGGAGTCCGGCCTTCGTCAGGAAGTCTTCCTGACGAAGGCCGGACTCCGGCCGAAACGTCGAAGATTAAATCGTCCGTTGTTGCTGTTTTTCACTAAGGGTTTTTTTCTTCTCAGTTTTATACCCACGCCTTCGGCCTCCCGCCACCATGCCCGTTATATATATATATATATATATATATATTTCTTTCTCAAATTGTTTAGCACGGAATATCGCAAAATATAAACAGCTCAAGAGCTGAGCTCTAATTTCGCATTACAGAGATTTGTAAGGGCCTTTCATTTTATATCTGAAAATTCCACTTATATTTTGTGCACCACACAGTAGATTACAAGGTTGTTTGTGGGCACAAGAAAAAAAAATAAAGGGGCTTATTTGTTTATATTATTTAACTCAGAGCCCGGCCCCCTGACGTCCCTGCGCTCTCTGATCTCATTCCTTCCCTTGATATCTACCCGCATAGGAACTGACGGCGACCATGAAGCAGTGCCGACATAGCTGCATTATGGCTTTCATCAGATTTCTTTGAGTGTCTCTTTTTTTGCGGTTCCTCAAATCAATCCCAAAAAATGCGTCGCTGCAATGTGATTTTTTTTTTTTGCGTATATGTTGGGTGTCTTTTGTTTTTGACTGCGCTCTAGCTTTAAACAACAAAATATATATAAATGCCATTTCCTTAATGATAAGAAGAACGCCTCAGATAACGCAGAAAACAAAACAGAACATACGCCAGAGGATAATGCTGTACCCGCAACTGAAGAATTTCCGCCTGCGAAGGCGTGCGAAGGCGGAGTGCACCAAGGAGCATAGAAAAGCTTTTGTCGCTTATGTTTCGTGCGTGGTGTATAAGATCCCTTTCTTGTGTAGAAGATGCTATGTGGGTCAAACAGGAAGATGTTTGAATGACAGATTAAGAGATCATGCCTATTCGTTCGCAGCCACGGTTCGAGGGCTATTGCCAATTCATTGCAGAGATCAGAAGTGTCGGCCTGATTTTGGAAGGGTCACCATTCTGGGCGCACACAGAGATAGGGTGACGAGGGAGATCGTAGAGGCTTTACATTGTTCGTGTCATGGGAAATCGTGTATCAGTGAACAATTGGTGGCGCTGTCAGGAAAAGAGATGTCCCTCCTGCAGGAAAAAATTAGTTACGAAGTGAACGCTTAAAGAATGTTGATTACCGACCCGTGTCTCAGTGTAATCTTTTAAGATACTCAATTTGCTTTCTTTATTTGTTTCATCTATTATAATTCTTTAGTGGCGAGTACAGCATTGTCCTGTCGCGTATATTCTTTTTCGTCGCCCGCATTTTATGAGCTGTTTTCCGCATCATGAATAATGTCAACCTACTGACCCAGTTCACCACCGTGCCACTTGCTATCTTCAGATAATTCAGGCGGCTCAGAAGGAAAAATTAGCAAAATATATATATAAAATAGCGTGCACACCTGAGGATGGAGTGTGTGCGTGTCGGGGGAGAGGGCGGGGGGTAGAAATAATATTAATATTATTATTCAGGAGCTTTAATTGGAACTTCTCTTCACTACAGACGACGCAGGTGTTGCTAACAATCGCAAAAACCACAATCTATATGTCATACACAGATCTGTCTGGTTTTAACAACAGTGTTGGTGCCGAAGGGTATCGCTTTAGGTGCAATGTTCGAAGGCTGGGACCATGTACCGCTTTGTGTTGACACACATTAATCACTGACAGCTTAAGAAACGCGGGCCGTGACTCAATATGGTCCGTCTTCTTGCATCGCGTGATTTGTACTTCGGGGTTCGTATGGGCTAATGCCGCACTCCATTGAATGCGGGACAATAACAGCATGTTCCAGACTCGACACGCACTCCGTTTCCTAAATCGTGAATGACTGCAGCTGTATTTGACTATACTGTTTAAATTCTGGTAGGAACCTACTTACCCTTATTAATATTCGATAAAATATTTTATCAGTGAAACAGTTTCTTTTAAAATGTTGGTAATAATAGCTATATCCGCTTGCTCTAGATGCGTGAAGCAGACCTCTATGTTCCTAATTAGAGCTTAACTTAATAAACGTAGGGTCTTAGAATACTTGAAAACTTAATGGAATAAATATACACCTGAATTAAACCTTACCTGGGTTTCGTTGAAACTGCATCACGTTTGGTTGAGGATGACTGCCGGACTTCTTTAAAACCAAAGTTTGGTTTACGCGTATCCACCTGTTTCAAAAACAAGGCGCAGTATAAAATCAATAACAGAGTCGTCTTCTAATTACCCGATTATAGCAATTTAACTATCTTTTTTTCTAATTATAAAAAAAACAATTAGTGTTTTTATGGTGAAATGACACTTCAACTTAATGAACCACTACTCACGCCATAGCAAGTGTTTATCTCTATACTGTATCACTTTCACGCGGCTGTATTCGGAGCGCAAGTTCTCCGACTTTATGGATATAGGTTGCGATGATGCCAGAACGCCGAGTTGTTATTGGCTGATTGTAAAAATAGTGGGTAGACCTCAAGGCATTTAGCATTAAGGTCTACCCACTATACTTTCAATCAAGGCCAATCAGAGCTCGGCGTCGTTGTGACGTCAGCACAACTCTTGCACAAGAAGCAGACGACTTTCTCTCCGGGTGACCTCACTACTAGACCTTGCCACGGGCGTTATATGGCTTTTAGAAGGGTTATAACTTTCAAGACAATCCTGGTCTCAGTACCAAATTTAACGAATATTTTTACCACAAACTTTTAGAGACTGGAAAAATCTTCGGCGCAGGCTGGCATTCAGCATCGACACTCGTGATTTGTTTCATTATTTGTATTCTATTTGCAGTGTTTAATTATATATAGTTCCAATGTTTATTTTTGTACCCATAAGGGTACTTATATATTTATTATTTATCTAGTCACATTCTGTACACAGCGGTTCCAGGACACTATCGTATAACTTATTCAGTCGTAATGACAAAAACGTGGAAATATACGTTTAAAATATTGACCAGTTTTTCAAGACAAATTCTCCAGTCTAAGGACGTTTTGAGAAAAAAAAAACGAATAAAAGTGGTTGTATTAGAATGATACCCTATATAATTTGTAGAATAATCACACTGGGACCAGACGCAAGTTGGTCGCACAAGTAAGTCGTGTTTATCAGTAATGTCTTCTTACAGTTTATTTGGTTAAAAATATCAATTGTTACACTCCTTTGTAATCTCAATAATTCCCACGACAGTCATTACAGTCATCTCTAATATACAAGGTAAGAGTTATATTTATTACTGAAACATGGTCTTGTTAATTTTAAGGCTTTTCTAATCTTTTTTTTTTCAGTTAGATCATCCTATTAGGTGTCCCATATTGCTCTCGCGTACTCAAGTATAGACTAGAGTTCCTCGATATGCTCTCCCGAAGGGGGAGCAAACTTGCGTATTTGTTTTTCCCGCGCCGCCACGCCGCTATTCGCCGAGATCGATCACGTGAGGAGAAGAGCATCCAGCGCCGTGCAAGAAAGCCACCACTACGGTCGGTCCGCCGATGTAGCACGCGCCCCGGCGTATGTTCCCCTGCTTTCGCCTCCTTCTCGTCCTTTCCTGTTTTCCGTGCGCGGCGGCACCCTCGGCGCCGCTATTCGCCAAATTTAGTCACGGGACGAGCAAAGCATCCAGGTCGTGCAGGAAAGCCGGCGCTACGGCCCCCTGCCGAGGCTGAATGCGCAACTCTGCTACCGTAGGTAGCTATATACAGGAACTCAAGTATAAGCCTAACTGTAGAAAAATAAAATAGTTTCCTTACATTCATAACGCATCCTTGACATTTATATATATATAAAAAAAAAGAATGGTGGGATACGTGTATGTACTCAATATACCTATCGAATAGTGGGTTTATTTTTCCGGGAATTTAGACACATTCCTTAAAAAAAGTAAGGTGGTTATCCTTTCCAATCTTTAGACTCGTGTTCTTTTAAACACACCAATGTGCTATTTGCTCTTAATTACATTACAATACTTCCTACTCCCGCCGTAAATTTATTTCCCTCTAAATAAGACAGGAGTCTGCAAATAGCTTTATCAGAGGCCGAATATTTGCTACAATGTCATTTTTGAGAGAGAATTAAAAACTGCGAAAATACCAAGAACATCCCGCAGGGGAACAAGTGCACCTCATGGTTAAGGGTGAGAATATTATACTATTTAAAATTTCTCACTTCTCGCTGACATTTAGGTTATTTCTATTAAGTTTTAGGATCAATGTTTACATTGATCCAGATTAATGCTATTTTAACATTTCGCAGGTTACGGCGCACAAAGTATAATGCTTTCAAATATAAAGATTGTGTGGTACCTAGTTAATGTGGTCTAGAGCTTTTGATATATAATGTTTGAATTGCGCTAATTGTATGTTGCACACATATCTACTTGAAAATGCCATAGAGAGAAGGTTCAATTATTATCTGTTCAAGATAGTTGAATATCATACACTCTGCCCAAATATGTTACAACAAAGTGACGTAAAAATGTAGGCGTATGTTTTCCCTAGAGCTTTTTTTTCCCGCAATTAAGAACTGGAATCACATTTGTGATCTTCAAAATTTGTCGAACAAACCCTGTTTTAAGCGAAATACTGAATAGAATAAACAGGGTGTCTGAAATTCCGAGGCTGCATCTAAGATAGGTCGTAAAAATCGGCGCCTGCACGTAGAAATCTAAGCGTTCCGTCAAAGATGTAATTCACAGGTGGATTTTACATTGTAAAATTACAAAACATTTTTGTAATTAAAATTACAAAAATTGGGCCAGAAAGCTTAGCAGGGACAGCGGCGTACGGCGACGCAGACAACCAAGGAGGCGGGTGGTTCTCATTTGAACCCGTTCGCATTTGAACCTTCTCGTTTTCACCTTCTCATTTTAACCCAGAGCAAAACAACTTTCGCGTTTGTCCCTTTCTCACTCAAACCGTTCTCAAAGCATACTTTCAGATTTTGACCATTCTCAAAACTACTTTTCTCATTTTAACCTTTCTCCTTTCAAACTTTCTCAAAACCAGCTTTCTGGCTTTGACCACTCTCAAAGATACTTTTTTCTCATTTTAACCTGTCTCCTTTCAAATCTTCTCAAAACCAACTTTCTGGTTTTGACCACTCTCAAAGATACTTTTTCTCCATTTTAACCTTTCTCAGTAAAATATATAAAATAGCGCAAAAAAGACAAGGACAAGAAATATACAGGACAGGCGCTAGCGCCGGTCCTGTATACTTCTTGTCTTTGTCTTTTTTTGCGCTATTTTATATGTTTTACTGAGATGAGCCAACTAGCGTACCCTACTAGCCTTTGTAAGTTTAAACTTACTAAAAACATACTTCCTGGTTTTCACCATTCCCAAACGACTTTTATCATTTTATCTGTGTACGTGATCAGGCTAGTGGAAAACAATAATTTCAGCATACATTCACGGGAAACCGCTATAAAGGAACCTATGACATTTGAAGTCCAGGCACCTGAAGCTTTATTGCGCCTTCAAATTAGGGACGAGCGTCGATTAAAACTTTTAACCCGATTAATCGCCACCTTTTAATCGATTAATTAATCGATTTACCGGCCTCGTGCATTTTTACACAAGGTATTTAAAAAAATTGTTTTTGTTGAATTTGTGACAACCGGCGGAATATACCAGTTCGATTTCGAATCAGCCTCCATGTTTAGTTAAGAACCGTTCAAAGGCACTCACACCGCCAGAGGAAAAGAGGTTCGTTGATATACTTTGGCAAGAACGACTTTCCTTGATTGCTCACAATAGCCTCTGCTGCGCTAAACAGACACTCGAACGGCGTTAAAATGAACGGGACACGTGAAACCTACTGCAATTGTCCGGAGTTACAAATCTCGCCCTTACAGCTTACTTTAGGCTAAAATTTAGCCTAAAGTTTGCCCTTCATACAGGTGTACTCGTTCACGTCTGCGTGGTGATAGCGCCGTTTTTACCTTTATGTTCGTCAAAATTTTACCGATTAACCGGTTAAACAAATCAATCGAGATTAAATCAGTAGTCGGTCAATCGATAGGTTAATCGTTCAGTTTCGCAGCCCTACCTGAAATGCATCTACGAGAATGAAATCTAGAGGTCATGCCGATCCACGGCATGACGGACGACAGAGGCAAATATACAATGATCGCAGATCTGTAAGACCACTTCGACACCGGTTGTAAATAATTCGATATCCTCACAGGGCATGCCAGATGAGCATAATTTGCATCCGATGATTCAAGATTGAAATGAAGAAAAAAAGGCTGTACCTGGTAAGAAAGTTTTCGATCCGCGCTACATCTGCACCTGCACATTACGAAAAAAGTAACAAAGAACGCCGCAGTTCCCAACGCGCGGTATGTCATGCACCCCCCCTCGACCGCATTGGGACAATGAACAGCCCCCAGTGTAGACGTGCTCATGACAAAGAGTATTCGTATAATACTCGCATCCTCGACGTGACCTCCGAACCCGAATTAATCCAACATCATGATCTCGGAATCTTTCTGTGGTACTTACAAGCAATAAAACATGACGAGCACAGTGATCTATCCGCTCCACAAGGCGACAAATTAACGACATTAACAGCTCCAGAGGAGAAATTAACTACCGAATCAGCGCTAGCCCTTTTAAAACCGCGTCACCACGTCATCATGTGACCAGGTAGCTACGTCAGCAGACGGGGGAAGGGGGGGGGGGGGGGGCACGCAGGCATAAGAAAAATTGTTTCATATGCTATGCACGATATGGTGCCACCTTGCCGCATCTATGGACCACCTTTGCTTCATCTTTAACCTTCATCCTCAACTCTTCCTTCTTCCTTCTGTACCTCACTGCCCTTCGTTTTGAGAATGTTGTTCAAATACGGTGCTCAAATAAGAACGAGTTTAAATGAAAAAGGGTCGAAACGCGAAAGGTTAAAACGCGAAGAGTATTTTGCGAACGGCTTCAAAAACGACAAGGGTTCAGATCAGAATGGGTTCAAATGAGACGGGTATAAATCAGATAGGGTTGAAATGCGAAAGGTTAAACGCGAAGGGCGTTTCGCGGATGAATTCAAACGAGAAAGGTTCAAATCGGAATGGCTTGTTTCGAGAGCGGGAGGGGGTGGGGGGGGGGGGGGGGGAGCGTTTGGAGCACGTAATGTTAGATGGCGTCGGGAGCATCTCCGGTAGGTGTTGCCGACCAGC